GAATTGCCTCTTGGGAGAGTCACTGCGTCTGTGAAGCATCTAGACCGTTATGAATCCAGAGGTCTGTGCCGGCGTTTAGAAAAATTAAGCATACTTTCTTGCAGCTAGAGGATACCCATCTTCTCACTTTCTGCACGGCCATTTCTGCCTTCTCCAGAAAAGGCTTGTTTTCACTCATTTCAGAATCCGTAATAACAAATTGTTTTAAATTGAGCTCTTGGAAGAGGCATGGGGTTTCTCGGCCCCTTCATCTGCAGCTCTGCCTTAGGGTGTGAGACCCAGCCGGGCAGCCATGGGCTCTCAGAGCAGCAGGACTGGACAGCCAGGGCTCCCAGCATGTGCCTTCCCCACCGCCAGCCACTTCGGGAGATTCCGCACATCACAGGAGCCCTGAGGGGGCTCAACCTGGTGTTGCCAGACTAGGAGTATAGATGAGTGGGGTGACATCACTGCAAATACTGAGGTCATGGCATGTCCTAAACCGCCCCCGGATGCCACATTAGAAATCATTAGAGTGAGAGGCAGGAGTCGCTGGAGGCCATGAGAAACAGGCTCAGGGTGCTCCTGGGTTAGAATAGTGGTTTCCACACCACTTGCCATCTGGGAGACCTTTGGCAAGTTACCCGTGTGTGTGCCTTCCTTCATCTGCAAAATGGGGTCAGTGATGACAGTACCCCTTGACAGGGTCGATGGGGTTACTGGATGAAGCACTTGGAATACTACCTCGTGCATCAGAAGCATTCACTCAATATTAGCTACTCTCTTCATCAGTCACTACTTACTCCACCCCGTCACAATTTTACACGTGGGAAGACTGGGGCCCAGGGAAGCAGAATATTTGCCCCAGAGCACACAGCTACTTAGAAGCAGAGCCAACTTTAGAATCCAAGTCGTTCATTCATTCATCCACACGGACTCCTTCAAAGTGTCCCTTTTAAAGGCCTCTAAGCAATTTCTACTAGAGGAGGGTGTAAAAGAGTCTCTGGGGGACACGGATGGATTTATCAGGACTGTTTATAGTGAAAACCAGTGATTTATTCTGAAATTTGAAAATTATTAAGGAAATGCAAAAGCTACAAATCAAAAGGAACACTTCTTAAATTACTGAAAAACTATGCTATGGTATATGTTTTATAAAGATGTATCGGGGGGGGAGGGGCGCCTGCCTGGCTCAGGTAGTAAAGCGTCGACTCTTGATCTCGGGGTTGTAAGTTTGAGCCCCACATCGGGTGTAGAGATTACTTAAAAAATAAAAAAATAAAACCTTCAAAAAAAAAGATTTATTTGGATATCAGTGTGCCTTCTCCCCATTCCCAGTCACTGTTGTTGGGTCACACAAGGTTGGAATAAAGAGTTAATGCCACAGAAGGCCACCAGAACAACAATGCTGCTGTTTCTTAAACTCAAGGTCAGAGGCATCAGCACTTCTCAGCAAAATGGTCCCCAAAATAGGTGACTCAGAATAATTTTAGTCTATACATCACCCTATTGAATCAAAATCTCTCTCCTGTGTGTAGTTCACTGAGGTCAGCACAGTTTGGGAAGAACAGGACTTTGGGCTCCACTAAATTACCACACTTGCTGGAGCCATCCATCCTACAGTGAGAGCACAGTTGATAGCGCTGGAGTCAGAGAATCAGAGAGCACACATGGGGTGCTATGAAGTCCAGGGAGTTAGCTAGTTGCTTTAAGAGCAAAGATACCAGCCTTTGCACTCTTCCCTCTCGTCACTATTCACTTATTACCGCCAAAGCGAAGGTGGGTTCCATTCCCTGGTTTCCCTCCTTAACCTGTGATTTGCTTTGTCTCCTTGTCACCGATTTCTTTCTTCTCATGCCCAGCTCCATCCCGACATTTTTGCTTCCCTTGGTAAGATCGGGGATACCCCAAGTTTACTAGAGGCTAAATCTCAATTCCATGTTTTAGTATTAGGTACTTTCCGCCAAGTCTCAGCAACCAGCCACGTTGCTGAAAATGTCCTCCTCCTGACCTTGTTTGCAGACTCTCTTATATCTGTTTGAACAAGCAGCTTTAACTCTATACCTCTGCTCAGACATTGTCTCCAACCTGGAAAGCACCCCTTTCGATCCTACCCAGGGTCCATTCCTCCTTTACAGTCCAACTTGGGCCATATTTTCTCCCACCTCCCTTCCACTCCAATCTGCTGTTGCAAGAACACCCACCCAGCCATAGCTCCCTGCAGCCCACCTCGTCATTTTGTGTCTTTACTCATCGTCTACATGGAAGTCTCGTGGACATTTGCAAGACCCTGTGGTGAGGACCCATTGTGCAACTTTTGTTGCCCTCTGCCCTGTCGTTTTCCAGCTGAGGTTCCTTTGCCACCACTGCCAGAGCATTGCCATGTACTGAACCTCGTGTGCACGTGTGTGTGAACTTAGTTAATCCTCGTCACAATCTTAGCTCCCATGAGGTAGATACTATTATCACTCCCCGCTTTATATATAAAGAAATGGAGGTACAGAGTGGTGAAATGAGCTGCCCAAGGGCACATAATCAGTAAGTGACAGCCAAGCTTTGAACCCAAGCAGTATCTTTCCAGTCTATAGTTTTAACTATTGCCCTCCAGCTCCCTACTCTGGTATCCATTTCCATTACATGATGACACTATATTTTAATCATTTACATGTGCACCTTCTCAGTAGAGGGAGGCTTCCTTAAAATATTTTTTAATGTTTCTTCATTTTTTGGGGGTGGAAGGGCACAGAGAGAGGGGGACACAGAATCTGAACCAGGCTCCAGGCTCTGAGATGTCAGTACAGAGCCCAATGCGGGGCTTGCACCCACAAACCGGGAGATCATGACCTGAGCCGAGGTCAGACACTTAACTGAGCCACCCAGGCGCCCTGAGAGAGGCTTCCTGAGGTCAGAGGTGGGTTCTTACTGAATGTTTTCTTCTCCGTTTTGCTACTCCAAAGCCAATTTCTCTGAGCACCCTAATGTTAAAAAGCCCACTCTGCACTTATAGTAAGGTGCTTACTCTTTCTTTATTTGTTTTGTGTTTTAGGTCTGAGGTCTCCAAATAGATTATAGCTAGAAGGTAGAGGAAACCTCCCGGCCTTTTCTGGGCCTGACAGAGTACCCAGCACAGTGATGAGCACCGTGTGATTGTCGTATAAACACCCATCACAAGACTGAGTAGCGTTTTCCCTCATGAGGATATTGTCCGCTTCCCCTTATTCAACATCATTCTGCTGACTTCTTCAATTTGTCAGGGTCACCCTGAATCCTAAGTTTAGATCTGAGAGGTCCTAGCCACAGCTGCCCAAAGTAATGGTCCCTTTACCCTTAAGATGTATTCCCTTTAATCCCTAGCAATCACGGTGGACAGGGTTGAAGACAGTTACAAATTCACTCTTGCAAAACAAATGCACACACTACAGCATGCCAGAGACAGAACAAAGGAAACTGCTAATGGCTTTCAGGGGGAAAAAAAATGCGCCAAACATCTACTCTAATAGGCGGAGGACTCTTCAGACCTAATGGAAATCAGTAATTTACACTTTGTGATGAAAATTGAGTGGCAGTAGCAGCAATAAGTGGAGGCCTGTGGGGACAGACCTTCCAAATCCCAGGGTAGAATGGTAAGAGGGCTTTCCAAAAGACTAGAAGGAGATGAACCAGTTTTGAAAAAGCATTTCTTTTCGGTTCCCTTTTTAAGCCCTTCCCCCCTTTTGCATCTGACCTCTGCCACTTTTGATCTGAGCCTCAACCTTTGACCTGTAAAATGAAGACAGTATCTGTGCCATGGATGGGGACAAAATGGAAATCACTGCGGAAGCAAGTGGGAAAGTGCTCTGAAAGGTACAGCAAGGGAATGGCATCACAGAGAGATGGTTTTTGGCCTCCTTCCCTCGGAGCCAAGTCTGCCAAAGTCGCCGTAGAGATAAAAGGAAGCCAGAACGTGGGTTCGACAAGTTGAGAAGGAAGTGTGTGCTTTTACAGGGACAGTTGCACCTCTAGTTTCATATAATTTTCCTTGTTCTTCAACTCCAAACAAACATCTAGAAGGAACAAGCCTTCACTTGAGAAAGTTCAAAGCCTCTCTCTTCAGAACTACAGACAGGAGAAGTACTTGAGAGAGGCGACCAGCGCTATGCATCAATCGGGCTGCAAGCATATTTTGGACTTCTCACCGGGAGGCCGGGCTTCTTCTCCAAGGCCAAGAATTCACACACAAATCCTCTAGCGAAGACTGATAGACTGATCCGCAGACCCCAGCTCCCCTGACTACCTAACCTTGGGTGTGACCTTGGGCAAAGCCTCCCTTATCTCATGTGTCAAATGGGGACAACATACTTATCTCGTGGAGGTGTGGTCAGGATTAAATGAAATAGAACTAAAGTGCCTAGTTGTAGCGCCTAAACTTGGAAAGTGCTGGATAAATGTATCGCTTACCAGTGTTGCTCACAGGCACAGGTCTCCTACTTAAGTAATTTGAGATGCATGAGATGTGATCTTGCTCTAATCTCTCCTTCCCCTGTAAATGTCAGAGTCCCTGAAATTTCACTTTAAAAGGTAGATTTTATAGTTTAATTTTAACATTTTGAGAGAGAAAAGTACCCTTAACAGGCAATAAAAGAGCCATTCATCTCCAAGTGTGAGTGATTTGATCAAGTCAGCCTTGGTGAGAGGAGGGGAGAGCTTGTTCAGGAGACACTAATTGGAAGAGTAGCTCTCTTATCCCACCTAGAAAATTCCAGGGCTGCTCCCTGAACAAATGTTGTGTACAAAGAACTTTGGGGCATGGTGGGCATGGGTTCCAATTCAAGCATTATCAGACAGGGAGTGGTGTAACTTTGAGCACCACCTTCCTGAGCCTGTTTCCATACCTGCCTGGAATTGCCACTTTGTTCCCATCTTTTGCTGTTGTGCTATTTATGGGTTTTCAACAGGGTTGGGGAAGAAGCCAAGAGTAGAAACGTGTTGAATGTGGAGTCCAGCACACAGCAGCGGCTCAAGAAGCAGTAGTTTCCCACTCCGGGGAAAGATGGCGGAGCGTGGTTACAGCTTTTCGCTGACCACTTTCAGCCCATCTGGTAAACTTGTCCAGATTGAATATGCTTTGGCTGCTGTAGCTGGAGAAGCCCCTTCAGTGGGAATTAAAGCTGCAAATGGTGTGGTATTAGCAACCGAGAAGAAACAGAAATCCATTCTGTATGACGAGCGAAGTGTACACAAAGTGGAACCAAACACCAAGCATATAGGCTTGGTGTATAACGGCATGGGCCCAGATTACAGAGTGCTTGTGCACAGAGCTCGAAAACTAGCTCAGCAATACTATCTCGTGTACCAAGAACCCATTCCCACAGCTCAACTGGTACAGAGAGTAGCTTCTGTGATGCAAGAATATACTCAGTCAGGTGGTGATCGACCATTTGGAGTTTCTTTACTAATTTGTGGTTGGAATGAGAGGCGACCGTATTTATTTCAGTCAGATCCATCTGGAGCTTACTTTGCGTGGAAAGCCACAGCAATGGGAAAGAACTATGTGAATGGGAAGACTTTCTTGGAAAAAAGATATAATGAAGACCTGGAACTTGAAGATGCCATTCATACAGCCATATTAACCCTAAAGGAAAGCTTTGAAGGGCAGATGACAGAAGACAACATTGAGGTTGGAATCTGCAATGAAGCCGGATTCAGGAGGCTTACTCCAACTGAAGTTAAGGATTACTTGGCTGCAATAGCATGATAACGAAGGGACTGGAAAATCCGAAATTTCAAATAATCCCTCTACTTAAACATGTTTAAAGTATGTTTTATTTTGCAGACTTTTTGTATACCTATTTCTACATGGTTTAATGGACAGATGTTTTAAAAAAGACAAAAAAAAAAAAAAAAAAACTGTTAAATCCAAAAAAAAAAAAAAAAAAAAAGAAGCAGTAGTTTCCCTCCCCTGCAAGGAAGGCACCCTAGACATCCAATCCTGGCAAACCAACTTTCGATTACCTTAAGACTTTTAAAATGCAATGTGAGCCCAATTTTGATACCAGCATACTTTTAAACCTACTTCTGTTCCTCCTGGCTTCCTCTCTGTCCCCTTTCAAAACTCACGAAGGCATGTAACAGTGAAAAATGGAGCAGATCTCTTGTAAGATAAAAGCTGTTGGCGTTGCTTGTGTCCATATTTTCAAAAAGCCTATCCTGGTCATGGCTGAAGATTCTAAAAGAATCACGCTGGCACATAGTCACAATCAGAAAATACATGATCCTCATTTAAGATTCCTTCATAGTGCTTACCATGAGAGTGAAGGAAAATCTTATCCCTCAAGGTCAAGAACCGTTGCTCAGAGATGAGGGAAAGGTTGAGCCTGAACTTGAAATTGCCAAAGCAGACCTCACTGATGAAGACAGCAGGTCCCCCCTCACCAAAACCAAAGAAGTAGCAAGACAACCATCCATTGAGAATTGCAATCCAAGGACAGGTAATATTCCCATCTGACAACAATAAACCAATATGCAGCAGAACGGGACATGCCGCAGAGGAACAACCATGTACCACGTGGGTACAGGGGACAAGAAATCACTTCGCACCAGGAGAAGCAAAAGGGGCTTCCAGAAAGTTAACGTTCAGACTAGGGCCTGCCAGATGGAACAGATTCTGATGGCTTGGAATGGGCAGGAGGGAATACACAATCACCAAACAAGACAGTATGGCAAGGTGAGGGCCGGGCTCGTGGTCTGGGCTCACTGGTAGCGCTTCTCCACCGCTCAGGTGTGTGACCTTGGCTAAGTGACTTAACTTCCTTAACACCCAGTTTTCTTCTCGGTAAAAGGGGGATGACGACAGCCACCTGGGAGGGTAAGCTGCTCGGAGAAGACAGAGTAAACCATAATCCCTTAGGTCCATGCCTAACAATCAGCACCCAATAAACTGGGGCTGCTACCATTCTACCCTCATTCTCCTTCTAAAGACTAAATAAATATGCCTTTAAAGGGACTTTCTAGATGTGGCTCAGAGGAGCTTGCTAGAACAATTCCTTTCCACATGCCATAGGTTAGAGGCTGAGGGTGTTGTGTAGACAGTTAAATGCATTCTCCACACATATCAGGACACCCCACCCCCACCTATTAAAGCATGAAAATGCTAGGTACTAAAACCTGCCCATTCTCTGGAGCCGGCCTCCAATTTCTGTCCACTTTAAACTCCTAGATCTAGGGGCACCTGGGTGTCTCAGTCGGTTGAGTGTCTGACTCTTGATTTTGGCTCAGGTCATGGGATCGAGCCCCATGTCGGGCTCCACGTTTAGCGGGGAGCCTGCTTAAGATTCATTCTCTCTCTCTCTCTCTCCATCCCCCTCTCCCACCTGCACACCTCCTCTCTCTCAAAAAAAGAAAGAAAAATAAACTAGAGAGATCTAGCTCTAGAGAGACTAGATCTAGAGAGACGGATCAATGAACCAAAATGCTTAGCAAGCATCATGCTGAGGTTCAGTGAGTTTTCTTGTCAACTGACCATTAATACAAAACGGATTCATTTTAACTCATAAGGAAATCTTAAGTCCATGAGTATATCCTTTGCTTCAGAAAGTGCACTGTGGTCATGATGACTGAAGACCTAGCAGCGCCTCAGGTCCACCATATCAGTAAGGAGGAAGCCCCACAACTGAGGCTCAGCAGAGCAGGAGCTGGGCCAGCTGCAAAAGCCAGCTGACGGGAGGGAGCAGGAGGCGACATGAGACCAAGATGGTGGGACACCTAAGTCAGGGCTTCACACGTAAACACAATCAATCTACACAAGGAAAAAGGTTTATACCAAGACACCGTATATGCATCTTATTTTTTTTTGTTTGTTTATCTATTTTGAGAAAGAGATGGTATGTGTGTGTGCGAGCAGGGGAGGGGCTGACACAGAGAGAGAGAGAGAGACAGAGAGAGAGAGAGACAGAGAGAGAGAGAGAGAGAATCCTAAGTAGGCTCTGCACTGTCAGCACAGAGCCTGATGCAGGGCTCAATCCCATGAATTATGAGATCATGACCTGAGCCAAGATCAAGAGTCAGCTTCTCGACTGACTCAGTCACCCTGGTGCCCCAACCCTGTATACACAATTTAAATGACAGTGTCTCAAAGCAATGCTCGCTCTTGCTACGAGCACACATGCTGATGTTTTCTCCTCCAGTGAAAAGCATTTTTATAGGTAGCACTTAGATTGCCCCCCGGAGAGGCTGCTTTGTGGTTTTGGAAAGAGAGCACCACGTAGAGAGAAGGAGAGAAGTCAATATAATTTCAATTAAAAAAAAAAGTGGACAGAAGGTTAAAGGCTGCAGCATTTTGCCAGAACTGGGGAGTGGGTGGGGTGGGGAGGGAGATGCAGCTCTAGGGAGTTGCCATTTCTTCCCCGCTCACAGAGGTGGCCGGGGACCCATGCCATGCCCTGTAGAGTCGGGCACACAGTGGGGAATCCTTCACACTATCCTTCAACAAGCCAGTCAAGGGTGAGTGGCCCCGAGGGACTGTCTGCAGGCTCCAGGTCTGATGTGACTGCCAACCAGCCCTCCTGGGACTGAGGCAATCTGTTACCTCTTGAGGGGCCTACGGTGTACCCTAATCTTGACACTGCCTGTGGTTCACAATAAACCAAAAATCGATGCAACATGAAATCTTTTTTTTTTTTTTTTGCATCAGTCAACCATCACAAATGTCTATGGGGACCCCAAGCACCCCAGAGGCGCTTCTCCACAAAGAAGCTTCTATCACTGAGGAGCCTACTATGTCGCCGGCCACCTGTGTGGCACAGCGGTGTCATCCAGGGAAAATAAACTCCTTGCAGCTAGAGAAAACCATTGGCAGCCATCCGTGCTGGCAAATTGCTGTGCGCACGTGCACGCGGAAAGATTTCCTATCAGCAGGGGCTTGCTCTCCTGTGGGGAGAGATGGCCGTGTTTCAAGAGGTACCGGGAAGGAAAAAATGAGTTCAGCATCCCCCACAATAACTAAGCAACACAGGAAGGAAAACAATTGCCGCTGAACCAGGCCACTCAAGGGGCTCAGTATGGAACTGAAGCGATGACTGTCATGACTTTTCTAAGCCCGGGATCAAAGACACAAGATTATCTATCTCTTAGATATGGCTGTGACCTTGAATATGTAAAACAGAAGTCAACTGGGGAAGGATTCTTACAGGAAGCACATCTGTGCCATGGTACGCAAGGTTAAGGCAACATCAGAATAGCTGTATTCACAGGAATTCACAGGTCATATGAATTAAAAACAGCACTTTCGGAATTCTGCAGGAAGGAAATCTGCTTGTGAGAATACCCACAGGCCGATCTGCAGGATACCAAAAGCAGCAGTAAGCTGAACTCCTACCAGGAGGCAGGAACTTCCAGTGTGGCCAGCTAAGGCAAAACCTCCCAGCAAGTCAGGATGCAGGGATTATGAAGGGATAATTTCTCACAGCCACACGCTTTGTGACACCTTGGCAACTTGCCCTATGGTGTCTCTTCAATAGGACAACGGTTTTATTGGAGAAAGGACTGGAAGACAAAATCCTCGCCCGGTCCTCATACTGACTGCTAGTCATGGGGGGCACAGGCCCGTGGCTCCCTGGGTCAGCCCATCCCACCAGGCGCCTCACAGCTGTCTTCTATGCTTGGTGTCATCTGTTTCGCTTCTGCTCAACATGACGGCATTGGGGCTGGGTTCCAACTTTTTCCATGATCTACTCTTTGTTCTGACTCTCATCCAAAAAATACCTCGGGGATTTGCTTAGCGCCTCGCTGCTCCTGAGTGCAAAAAGTCTGATTGTAAACAGGGACAACTGTTTGGAAAAGAGGGTGATGTGCAATTTCAAATGTTTATCTATGAGAAAAGAATGAATAAGGGTCCTTTACTCAAAGCTGAAGTAATGGTTATGAAGCAATTTGAGTCGAGGGAAAAGAAAATCATAAAAGAAACAGCTTCTGTCCTACTGCTAAGTGGTTTGTCTTACTAAAGAGTGGAGAGGGTAAGTATACTTAGCTATTCTAATCATAAATAACGAGAGGTTTTTGCACAATTTGGCCCAAATGTGGCCTGTCTTGAAGCTGGGGGACAATGCATCTAAGTCTGGCAAAAATATTTCCCCCTAATTAGCAAGTGCATGTGAATTAGTGGGACTGCCAGTAAAGAATTTCAAAAATTTTGCCTGAAAATGAATAATTGAATCCTCTGCTAGAAGTAGGAAGTCTGCAATGAACCTCACATAGGGTACTATTCATAAACTGAGGCCTGCATGGTACCCCCTAGAGTTTACAATGGGGTGGCCTTGCTGACCCACAGCCCACCTCCCCTGGAAGGGCCCACACAGCTGGTAGAGCAGTGTTTTAGAAAATGGGTTAGGGTTCCACTCTGTCTGCCATTTACTGATGTGGGACTTTGGGCAACTTACTTATCCTCTGCCTCAGTTTCCTTATCTGTTAAATGAAGATGATGTTACCACCTTTTCCCCCAAGACTGTACTAAGGACTAAATGAGGTAACATAGTATGGGGCATATAGTAAGTGTTCAATAAACATTAAGTAGCAGCATCAGTATTTTAGATTATTCCAAAGCTTGCTTGCTTTTTCTTCTCTTTCTGGCAAGGACATTTCTAGAAATTAAGTATCATTAGTCTTGGTCAGCAGGGAATGGGAAATGGGGCCTATTTCAGAAGCGATTTAACCAAAGACCTATATCATCTTCCTCAGGAAATGGAAATAGTACAGAAGACCCTT